GTTTATTTAAAGAATAATTTCTGTACAGAAGTTTACCTTCTAATTGTACAGTTAGGAAACTTTACATACATTCACCACAAATATAGACTAGTTCCACCCCAAGAATTCCTTTGTGCCCATATCAATCCACTTTCCACATACACTGTCAGTGGCAGTCACTGGTCTGTGTTCTGTCCGTATGGTTTTGCCGTTTCCAAAATATCATAAATGGAATCCTATATAAGCCTTTATGGTCTAACTTCTGTTTCTTAGGATATTGTACTTGAGATTCACCAATATTGTTAGACATTTCAATAATTTGTTCCTTTTTACTTGAGAATTCCATTGTATGGGTAGACCAGGAGGGTTAAAAAATTCCATTTGCCAGTTGGACATTTGAATTGTTCCAGATTTCCATGGATATAAAAGCCATTACAAACATTCATATACAGGTTGTTGTAAGTACCTAATAGTGAGATTATTTGATCATATGGTAAATATATATTTTCCTGTATGAGAAAGCACTTGGGTTTATCTGAGCTTCTTGGATCTGTGGTTTTTGTCTTTCATTATATTTTGAAAATGCTTAGATGTCATTTGTTCAAATATTCTCCTGCCATCTCTTCTCCATCTGGAATGCTAATTATACATATTAGGCCATTTGAGATTGTCCCATAGATCTGGAATATTATTTTGTTGTTTCACCCTTTGGGTGTGGGGATCAGTTTGGATCATTTCTATTGACCTATCTCCAAGTTTCCTGATTATTCTTTAGCTATGACAAGTCTACTGATGAGCCCATAGAAGATATACTTCATCTCTGATCCTAGTTTTTTATTTCAATTTGTCTCTTATAGTTTCTTCTTCTTTGCTGAAATCTGTTCACACATATCCATATTTTCAACTAGATTCTTCAACATGTTAATGAGAGTTTAGGTCTTCGTTCAATAGTTCTAACATCTGGATCATACCTGTATGTAGTTTTGACTGTCAATGAAAAATGGCTTGGTTTTTGTGTATCTCATTTATTTTCTTGATTGCCAGTCAGTGCTTATGTAACACTAGAGACTGCGTAAAGATTAGTGATGCTTGGAAATGGACAAGCCTGTTCTTCTGTCAGGCTGTGTGGGTTTGGTCAATTTAGTCAGGAATTGAGCTGGGTTTGGGTTTTGTTGTTGCTATGGTTGCCTTCAGTGTACCACAGCTTTCCTATCCTCCAGCATTATTTTGTGCTTTAGGTTAGAATTGAAGAACTTTTCTTAAGGG